GTTCCTTTTTTATTTTATTCAGGCCTGAAAAGAGTGGATGACCTAAAATGGTGCTTTATTTTGCACTGCTGTGTAAAATAATGGCTGCCAGAACACCAAGAACAGTTTAATTCAGTTTTAAACTGTTTTAGTCTCAAACATTACTTTTAGAGTTGTTTTCAGTAAGGTATCTGATTCAGAGCTAACTTGCCTATTATGCTGTAATTGGGTTCTTCTGGTTATCACAGTTTGTTCCAGTGGTGACTCTGTTGATATATTTTCAGGAGGAAAAAAGGAAGAAAACATTTGCCCTCCTCGAAGGACAACTTTTTATCTACCTTGCTGTTATTTTTGTTATTTGCTTACTAATTTAATTCTCTCCTCGTAATGGCTATGTAACCCTTACATTATTTCATAATGCTTAGCACCTTATTTTAGCTGGCATTCAGCCCTTACCGCTGATTTCAGAAGAGACACCTCTGCATGTTTCAGGCATTTCCATATCAAATTCTTACTAAGGTATGAATCCTGTATTATAAAAAAGCCTTTTGTCAGTTGAATACGTTTTGCACTAAGCCCAAATGCTGTAGTTGAACTGCTGATTGAACTCACAGCAGCAAGGAACAACATTCTTCAAACTCCTGATGCATTTAACAGATCTGCTCAGACTGAATTACCTGAAAGGTCTAATCTGCAAAAGCGTTTGTGTTTGCAAATGTTTTCACTGTCTCAGCAAGTAGTTTCTAGTCTCACTGTTTAACAAATACCAATGAACAGGAGTGTATAATTGTTTTATAATACGCTCCATTCAGTTTAACTTACTCTGAATTTTTCTAAAAATAATCTCTAACAAGATTAGTTGTGAAGAACTTGATAGGTATTGTGTATTTCTCAGTGCCAAGGATTTTCAGTAGAACCAGCTCTTGCTTCTGTCTTTTGAGTGAGAAAACAAAATTCAAGAAAACAGGCTGAGCTGTGCCATCCTCAGTCTTTTGAATTCTTGCACCTTGAATCCTGAACAGCAGATCTTAACTGCCTTAATGGTCTTTTAAGATGAGGGTAATTTGAACAATGCTATTTTTTTCTCTGTCTTGGTCAGAAAAGACAACAGTTTGTGTTAATATGTAGTTAATGAAATAAATTGCATTAATTAGTAGCGCTTCCACTATGGTAATTCAGTTTCAAAATCACAGACTTCATTTCAAGGCCAGTTTTAGCTTTTCTGTGCTGCTGTCTTGTTTTAGGACATGTCCACTCCATCACTGTGGAGAGCACCACCTCTCGCTGTCTTGTTTTAGTCCACTCCATCACTGTGGAGAGCACCACCTCTGTAACAACGAGCCTGTACAGATGGAGTTCAGTTATGGAAAAAAAGTCGTGAAAACAGTAGCTATTTATTTGAAGGTTGAAGAGAAAACCAGTAGTTTTACCATATGGACTTTGCTTTGCCTGGCCTCATTAACTGCATGATGTAAGTGTAACCTTTTTTCTTTAACTTGGTGTAACCCAAGAAAATTTCACAGCTAGTGGAGGTCAAAGTGTCATTGCACTGGGTTATGGAGAGCAGGGTGGTCAAGGTGGGGGGTGAGAGTGGCTGTGGGAGGCACAGGTACCAGCGTCCAACCAAACCAGATGACTGTTTTATTCCTGGGAGCCTATCCTACTTCCTGCTCAAAGCAGTGTCAGCTACGGGGTCACACCAGGTTGCTCAGGGCTTTAACCCATCACATTGTGGAAAATCCCCAGGGTTGGAGAGTGCATAACCTTTCTGGACAGCCTGCTCCACTGCTGTGCTGTCCTTAAAGGTAAGAAAGTTCTCCTTAGAGCCAGTCTGAACCTCTCCTGTTTCAACTGATGCTTTTGTCTTTCATCCTCCCACCACGCGCTGCTGTGCCGAGCCTGGCTGCGTCTTCTCAAGGGGCTGCTGTCAGGTACCCACAAAGCTATTTCTTCTGCAGGTTCAACGAGATCTGTTCCCTCAGCCTTGGCTCACAGGGTGAGTGTTCCAGCCCTGGCCATCTTGGTGGTCCTCTGCTGAATTCACATCCATTTACAGATGTCTTTTCTATATCTGGGGCCCAAAACTAGACTTAACATGCCAGACGTTGTTTAATAAGCACCAAGTAGAGGTGGATAATCACCTTCTTTGATCTACTGGCTCTGCTCCTGTTAATATACAGTCCAGGATGCTCTTGGCCTTTGTTGCTGTGTGAGTAATATGAGCCTCCTCAATACAGAGGAGCCTTGTTAAAAGGCTTGCTTTCATTCAATACCAAGTAAAAATTGATTAGAAGTATCAGCAGAAAGAGGTGAGTGGCTTTATTCGGACAATTTTGCTTCTTGTTTCATACTTAGAGAGCTTTAGGGATCTTTTGTTTATACAGTCCATAAGCTAAACATTTGCAGAATGAAGCATGACGTGCAGAGAGAAGCTGAGGTTGATGGCAGCGTGGTTTTCTTTGACCTGATAAAATTGCCGTGATACTTGCATGAAATTTTTCTTGCTGTTTGGCTTTTTTTTTTTTTTTAAACATCAGGTAAGAGAAATTTAGGTATCTGCATTCCTAAAAGAACATACATCCAAAGGCACTCTGCCAATTCCTTACTATGTTTTATAAAACCACTCCTGAAGTAGGGAGATGCTAGTAGTGTGTATCATTAATGTGACTCACACAACTGAAATAAACTGAACCTCTGTGAACTTTATTCTGCTTTTCTTAAAAAAAAGGCGAGCTTTATTTTTTTGTCTTGTAGCAATATTTTTTTCTGGATATTGGATTTCTCTTCTATGGACTATTGCCAGCTATATGCTGAGTTTCCAAGGGGAAAAAACCGAACTGAAATAATGAAATATTTTGCTTGTTCCCAATAAAATATTGCAGCAAAGTTAGCCTGTTATTCAGATCACTTGCTTAGGTACTTCATGGACTGCATTATTTACTTTTTCCGCTGGAATTGTTCTCCTTTTTCAATAACCTGCAGGCACCTGCACATCTCTAATTTCCATTGGAGGCTTCACCTCGGTCTGTGAGACCCACCAACCCAGTATCTTCACAGGAAGGGTTCTGCTAAACTGGTTTTTGAAGAGATATTTACTGAGTCTTCTGCAATACAGTGGAGGTGCTCAGTTGCTCTGTTTGTCTTCTGTCACTTCCTTTTTGGCTGAAATTTAGATGAACTGAAACATGGAAAGATTGTTTAATAGTGCCAAAGCTATGGAGAAAGGTTTGGGAACTGTGGGCTGAGGTCCTCAAGTCCAAACCAGCACTGTTTAATCTACAGTATCCAAACAACTCCTCTGAGACCTCCTGTGGTGGTAAAGATGGTGCTTTTCATTTCTAAACTTGGTTTTGACTTTTTGTGTTAGTTTTGTGGTTGTTTGTTTTTTTTTTTTTTTTTTTTTTTTTTTCTGTGGGCCATAAATTCCAGCCCAATGAAATGGTGCAGAAACTTATTTTCCAGCATAGGGAACATCTTTAAAGTTGGATATTTCTTTAGAGAAAGTGGGAGGAAAAGTAGCTGTGCAAACCCATCAATATCGCAAGCTGCTGAGGCAGGTGTGAAGTTCCCCATATACCGTCAAAACTTTGTTCTCAGCTGAATTAAGAAAACTTCCTACAGTGGGATATGTGCTGAAACAAGATCTAAGGATGGCTTCATTCCACTTTAGTGTGTGATGGTGGCTCCTGTCCTCACTGCAAGCTGGGGGCCTGGGTCTGAGGAAGCTACAGCTGCACCAAGGTCTCTGACAGCTTCTTCTGTGGTGGGTGGGATTATGCCAAGTGTTGCCTGGGAGGGAGTTGGACATAATAGCTGTCATGTGTCCCCTGATTCATGGTTTGCTGGAAACCCTCTGCGGGAGGTATGTTCTCTTTTGAATAACTCTGTGGGTGCTGTGTATCTGAAAGATGTGTGTGACTTTCCTTGGCTGGGGTAAATGTAAGCTGAAGCCAGGAAGCGTGCAAAGAAGTGAATTTCAGTCCATTTTGGAGAGACATAACCATAGGTGTATCTTACTCCTATGACTGTAAGCTCTATATGATACACTTTTTGTCACTGCCTTTTGTGTGACAGCACATTTCCAGGCAAAGGAGTCAGCCCTGGGAATATTGCAGCAGTTGAACTTTAGCTTAACAGGCACAGAAATGCACAACTGCATGATGATGTTTTTATAGTAAGTGTTTCACTGTATAGGTAAGTATCTAACCAACACCCTGTAACGCTTTGCTTTCTGCTTAGAATGAAGCTTTTGACATTAAAGAGCTATTTGCATGGTCTGAGATTTATTGCAGGAGAGAGCAATAAACCCTGGGAGCAAGGAAATGGCAGAGCTGGTTTAGTGGAGAAATGCCAGGGTTACAAAGGCACTTTTTTTGGACCAGGCCAAGTGGAAAAGATGTGTTTGTGTCAAATTCCTGTAGAAGGGCATGGCACCACCTGCAGACAATTAAAGGAGCCAGAGAGGTTGCCCGTGACTGGCTTACTCCTGTTTGGTTGTTTGGCTGCATGGGCTAGTCATTGACAGTTTTGCAGCTTACCCAGGACTGTTTCATTTTGTGTTATTTTCATCTCCCTACAAAGAAGCTTTTGACTAAATCTGTCTTTTATGATCAAGCCTAATGCTGAAATGGTTAAAGGCGACCTTCCTTGCTATCAGCTCTTCTGTGGTTATGTTCAGTGCCATATATGAATTGACTTAAAAGCTATCGGCATGCTAAAGGATAAGAAAAATAATTATCTTGAGTGCTGTTGTTGTTCATAGCTCAATTTCTCTGCCAGTTATGCAGTGAACAGCAGGAATGCCCCAAAAGCAGATGGTTTTGCTTGTTGGCTATTTTGCCAGCTGTTGCGGGTGAAAGACAGATCTCTCAAGACAATTTGCTGGCCAGCCTTCAAGCAAGCAGAAGTGCTATTTTCCTTTAAACAGTCTATTGGAAGCTGCATTCTTGCTCATGTGTTTGGTCAGTACCTTTGGAGCTTGAAACCTGCTCTCAAGATGTTCTTGGCGCATTTAAGTGGACATGTCAGTGGCCTTGGTAAGTGTCAGAGGGGTTGATCTCTCTGAAGATCAGAGATACATGTTTCAATGGCAAAAACTTTCCCACTGTGCTTGTCTTAAGTAAAACTGTACCACAGTTGGTGTCTGCTGTGTAACTTGCTCTTATCTGGGGGCTTGAACCAAGATTGCAGGAGAGAGCTCTTGCCTTTCTTCTTGAATACTGCTTTATTTTCAACATACCTGCCTGCGTTTGTTTTCTTTTTTATTGCTGACGAAAGAAAAGCTGGCTGTGGGTTGCCATTAGCCCTAAGATTAGAGTAGGAATTCCATGGCTCTTGGCTAGGAACCTGAGAAAGCATTTATAGGTTATATTTTTAAAAGTTTGTAACACTTGCAGTTAGGACTAGACTTTTGGGTTGCTGGCAAGGTAGAAAAAGTGGTTGTGGTTTTTGGTTTTTCTTTTCTTTTCCTTCCCCAAATTGCACAGCATCATTCTTTGTAAAAAACAGCAATTGAGTCCAAATGGAGGATGCTGTTTGCCTAATTGTCCAGATTTGGGAGTGTCTGTTCTTGCAGGAATCCATAGATATGCTTGTAGCTGCTTCTTTAATGTGAACTGAGAAGTGTCAGTGACCTTAACTGACACTTCATTGTTTTCTTTCTGTCTTTGAGTTGTACAAAATAATCAAACAGAAAGATACTCTTTGCTGTTCCTGAGGGCTTTTTTTTCAGTAACAGACTAAACATGTTTCCATGTGCTGTGTCTTCTCTATCTCAACAGATGTAAGCAGAATCCTATAAGGGAGTTTATTCTCAATTTGCAATTGTTTTCTTTGGTTATGGAATGAATTTACTGTTTACCTTTTATTGCTAATAGATTGTTTACTCAAACTTTTAAGCAGCAAATTGAATGCTATTGTAATAAAAGGCCTCCCTGTTCATTTTCCCAGAACTAGCATAATTTTACCCATATAAAACTTGTATGTAATTTTTCTTAGAACCAGAGATGCAAAAATTCTGCAGTTGTTAAAGAACTCCGTGAAAAATGGTAAAGTTCACGTTATGGAGATGGAACAAAAAATCACTTTGTGCTAGTCAAGAATACCCAGAGGCTTTTCTCTGCACTGAGTTTTGGTATCTGATGCTCATATTACAGATGACTTCCCCACATTGAGACTGATATGTGCTCCAAAAGGGTATTCTTGGGTTTCAGGTGTCCAGGTAATGAGCAGAGTTTGAATAGACAGGTAAACCAAACTGAAGGATAATAATACAGGAGTACTGGCAAGCTGCCTAGATTGGCATTGGTAAATGTGATTCTGTAAGAGCTACAGAGCGTGGAATGGGAACCGCGCTGTATTTAAATGATCAAAAGGATTAGCCTGAGTTCCTTGACTGCTGACAGGCACCTTGCACATAGGCATAAACAAGTACTTTGTAAAAACTATGAAGAAACCAGGAAGATGATTCTCATCAGATTATTTAGGGAAGATTCTCTCTTAGATTCTCATCAGAAGAGTAGGGAAGGGGGCAGAGGGTTCTGCAGTCTTTTTTGAGCTGTAAAGGGACAGATAGCAAAGAGCTTTAATGAAGCATAGCATTTTGGGGGTTTTATATCAGGCCTATGAGACAAATCTTGCACAAATCATTAGGACTGCTCCCTGGGCAAATCTAAGGGATGCAACTTTTATGTATTTCCATCAAACTTGAGCGAACATCTCAAGTGTGACCACAATAGCTATGTAGCTATGGAAAGTAAATCAACAAAGTTTTTCATAAGAAATTGATAGACACTTGTAGGGTGCTGCCTGGGCCTTTTCCCACATTGTTTGTCCATGTTGCCAATGATCTAATTCTTGCTTTCACTATTTCAGACTTTATTTCAAGTCAGAAGTGAATATCTAATATTCATGTCACTAGCATGTGTGTACTCTGCCACTATTGATCTGCAACAATGATTTTAAATAGACTTGTGTCTGAACATGAGTTTAGTGTCTTCCCTGAATGGACAAATGGGATTTGAGGCTGTGAAACAGATGCAGGAAATGATAACAAGATAATAATAATAATAAAGATAATGAATACATTTTGATTACACTTGGTATTCTACTCCTTAGCAGTTTGGTGCTCTGCAGAAACAAATGGCAAAAGTGGCAGCAGCCTGGTGCGTGCACTTACAGCAGAGACTCCAGGCAGAAAACTATTCACTAGAGTTATTACTGAACACTAATGGCCTCTTCCCAAACAAAAAGAAAGCTTCCAATGGTTTCTGCACCCGCAGGCAATGATAACAAGATAATAATTATAATAATAATAAAGATAATGAATACATTTTTGCAGGAAATGATAACAAGATAATAATAATAATAAAGATAATGAATACATTTTGATTACACTTGGTGTTCTACTCCTTAGCAGTTTGGTGCTCTGCAGAAACAAATGGCAAAAGTGGCAGCAGCCTGGTGCGTGCACTTACAGCAGAGACTCCAGGCAGAAAACTATTCACTAGAGTTATTACTGAACACCAATGGCCTCTTCCCAAACAAAAAGAAAGCTTCCAATGGTTTCTGCACCTGCGAGGAGTTTCCTAGCAACATCACTGAGGAAACTGTATGCCAGGACTTTTTTTCTGAGTGCTTTTTGTTGGACATAGCAGCAGTTGTAAAACAAAGGTCAAGAGCAATTTAAGCTCTTAAAAGCACTGTTGCTTAATTCAGCTACCCAGAGAAATGCTTGTATTGCAGTTTTTTGCCTAAAGGATAAATATCGGGTTACAGGGTCATCCAACAGATACTCCAACTGAAGTTTAGTTATATGTAAATATCACTTAAACTATGATGGCACTTCTTACTTGTGAGAAAATTACTGTTAGCATTTAACTAACTTTCTGTGCAACACAGAAGAGAGAAGCACAGAACACCCATAGTGGGAACAGACCATCAGTCTAATTAAAAAAAAAACCAACTTTTTATTTTCTCTGAGAAGGTGTATGGGGTTATTGTCTTACTGTGTGCACAGGCCTCAGGTGAGTCCCTGCTTTGTGCTTTGTCATTGGTTTTCATCAACATTTATTTCAGGTTTTCCTCCCTCAAAAGATTTTGTACTTGGTAAAGGTCAACATTCAATAATCTCTTAGCTATTTAGAGAAATGCAGGTTCTGCATGGTTTCATATGTAAACAGTCATCTAAAAAGTCATCAGACATAATTCTCTCTCTCAGCTCCCTGTTCATTAAGCTAAATGATGGTTTCAGATGTAATTTAATACCAAACAAACATGCTTAAACTTCTGCTTCCTTCATTACAAAGGCACTGGAAAAATGCTAGAGCCATTTTCACTTCTCTGAAAAATATTTTCAAGTAATTTGCCAAAGAAAATCAGCTGAGGATAAGGTGCAAGAAATTTTCAGTGAAAATCTGTTACAGCTAATAGGAAAAATGAAACACTATTCCATTCAAACAATTTTCCCCCCTCCCCTTCTTTCTGGACTTCAGGTGCTGTGACCCCTGTTCTCATGAATCCTCTCTCGCAGCCACACTCCGTGTCTCTGTCAGAAGGAATATGCCGTACCATATCAGACATGAATGCACATCGTGTGATGGTCACACAGGAAACTTTAATGGAGCAATTAGTGAAAAATTATCCAGGTAATGTGCTCATTTCTCTCTCTTCTTTTAAAAATGACTGTATCATCAAGTTGAGGTTCTGATATTGGGCAAGTGATCAGTGAATGTTTACAAGCAAAGCTGGCAATATGAAAAAATATAAATTAACAGGCATCCAGTATGAATACATGAATGTGCATATTATCCTCATCAATCTGTGAATGTCACTAACATTGTTTTGAATGTAATCCATTTTACAGATTTTAATAAATATTCTTTGAGTATAAAAGAGGGCACTGAGTAAGTGACATGTTGAGAGTATGCCCTTTCTAGAGGGTAGGAAAGGATAGATGAGGTATTTAGGTGCCAGATACAGAACAGAACAAAATAGACTGTGTCTCAGATCACAAAGACTGAGTCCTCCTTTAAGAGGCAGGAATGTAGCCGAGTTTGATGGCAAAGGGACTCGGTAGGAATCTACATCTGGTGTTTACTATCAAAGAACACGACAGATCTTAAATTCAGATTAATTGGTCAAATTCCAGCCCTTTCCTTCCTGAAAGCAAATTACTTACACTAAAAGAGCTTTATTCCTTCTCTTCTGACGGGGTAGCAGCCACTTCCCTTAAATGCTGCGTTTTCTTTGGCATAGGAAAAATGTTCAGTTTTCCTTAAATCTGCAATATTGAAGTGTGTATGTGTGCGTGTGAGACTTTGTAAAGGCTCATGATGGCCCTCTGCAGGAGGTTGCTTGGTTTGATACTGAGCTTTCTCTTCTGAGCCTTCATAATATGATAGCCCTGCAAACGTTACAGGTTGATCTGGTCGGCATTTTCACCAGTGTGAAAATTGTTAATGCAACCCCATAAACTGGCCCAGAACCCTGCCAAGAATGTGATGTAGTCCAGATGTGCACTGAGACAACCATAAAGTAGCATTTTCAAGACAGCCAGAAGCAGCACTCTCAAAGTCTGTAGGGAGAGAGAGTATTTCTTGCTATGTTTTCACCTTGCTGGAAGTTTTCATTCTCGCGGACAGGAGATCAGCAGAAACCTGGGGCAATAGATCAGATGTCACTAGACCAATGACTCTGGGACTCTGACACCTGAAGGGAAACTGGCAACTGAGACCAGTGTCAGTGAGGCAAACTTTGGTAGCAATTGTTGTCTGACAAAATTATACCAGAAGCTTCAGAGAGACTGATAAAAGCCACTGTTAAATAACCTGCCATGAGGGAAATGTTTTGAACAGCCCACTGTACCTGGCAGCAGATCTCTCTCATGAGTATCACAACCTGACAGACACAGAAAGAACATCCTGGCTTATTCGAAGGAGAACTTCCTAAACTCCATCACAGCAGAGCTGCAGTGACAATCAGAAATGCAGCTGGCCTTTACCTTCTTCCTCAGGGTGACCTTGCCTCATGAGTGAGGAATGGCTGTCGCAGAGATAGAATCTGTATGATTTGTAGGACACCGGCAGGATTGCAGCTACCAGAGCCCTCTGGGTGGATGATGTTTCCGTGCTGCCCTCACCTGGCTGGCCCTGACTCAGAGCTGCAGCCAGAGCGAGGCCAAGATTTGGGGTGGCTGCAGAGGGGCTGTCCCTCTTGTGCAAAGGATCCCAGGGTCTGTGAGTGGGGGACAGTCAGATGCAAGCACAATTGCTGGCTCTGGAAGCTCAGCAGATTCGTGATGTACTAGAAAAAAAACAAAAACCACCAACTTTGCCTTTTGTCTGGTGATACTGGACAGTTTCACGTTCAAAATCAGTATGTGCTACTCAAACTTCAGTTCCCAGGTCAGTTTCAAAATTCTTTTGGAATCCTATGAACTAAATGCATTGGATATTTCATGTTCAGTTGCCTACAGATCAGTTGTATGTAAATAATTTTTTTTGCCAGCCCCCATTTTATTTGAAAACTTATTTCTCATTTGAAATATATGCATCTTTGTTGCAGGCATTGTCGTTCCCTCCTACGGTATCTTACATAATATCCTTGGCACTCTAATTAAAGAAAGGAAAATCTATCATACAGGAGAAGGATATTTCATTGTCACTCCCAACACATACTTTAACACAAATGACGCCACAGTTTTTGTCCCCCCTTCCTTCTGGACTTCAGGTGCTGTGACCCCTGTTCTCATGAATCCTCTCTCGCAGCCACACTCCGTGTCTCTGTCAGAAGGAATATGCCGTACCATATCAGACATGAATGCACATCGTGTGATGGTCACACAGGAAACTTTAATGGAGCAATTAGTGAAAAATTATCCAGGTAATGTGCTCATTTCTCTCTCTTCTTTTAAAAATGACTCTATCATCAAGTTGAGGTTCTGATATTGGGCAAGTGATCAGTGAATGTTTACAAGCAAAGCTGGCAATATGAAAAAATATAAATTAACAGGCCTCCAGTAGAATACATGAATGTGCATACTATCCTCATCAATCTATGAATGTCACTAACATTGTTTTGAATGTAATATCCAGTATGAATACATGAATGTGCATATTATCCTCATCAATCTGTGAATGTCACTAACATTGTTTTGAATGTAATCCATTTTACAGATTTTAATAAATATTCTTTGAGTATAAAAGAGGGCACTGAGTAAGTGACATGTTGAGAGTATGCCCTTTCTAGAGGGTAGGAAAGGATAGATGAGGTATTTAGGTGCCAGATACAGAACAGAACAAAATAGACTGTGTCTCAGATCACAAAGACTGAGTCCTCCTTTAAGAGGCAGGAACATAGCTGAGTTTGATGGCAAAGGGACTCAGTAGGAATCTACATCTGGTGTTTGCTATCAAAGAACACGACAGACCTCAAATTCAGATTAATTGGTCAAATTCCAACCCTTTCCTTCCTGAAAGCAAATTACACTAAAAGAGCTTTATTCCTTCTCTTCTGTAGCCGAGTTTGATGGCAAAGGGACTCGGTAGGAATCTACATCTGGTGTTTACTATCAAAGAACACGACAGATCTTAAATTCAGATTAATTGGTCAAATTCCAGCCCTTTCCTTCCTGAAAGCAAATTACTTACACTAAAAGAGCTTTATTCCTTCTCTTCTGACAGGGTAGCAGCCACTTCCCTTAAATGCTGTGTTTTCTTTGGCGTAGGAAAAATGTTCAGTTTTCCTTAAATCTGCAATATTGAAGTGTGTATGTGTGTGCATGAGACTTTGTAAAGGCTCATGATGGCCCTCTGCAGGAGGTTGCTTGGTTTGATACTGAGCTTTCTCTTCTGAGCCTTCATAATATGATAGCCCTGCAAACGTTACAGGTTGATCTGGTCGGCATTTTCACCAGTGTGAAAATTGTTAATGCAACCCCATAAACTGGCCCAGAACCCTGCCAAGAATGTCATGTAGTCCAGATGTGCACTGAGACAACCATAAAGTAGCATTTTCAAGACAGCCAGAAGCAGCACTCTCAAAGTCTGTAGGGAGAGAGAGTATTTCTTGCTATGTTTTCACCTTGCTGGAAGTTTTCATTCTCGCGGACAGGAGATCAGCAGAAACCTGGGGCAATAGATCAGATGTCACTAGACCAATGACTCTGGGACTCTGACACCTGAAGGGAAACTGGCAACTGAGACCAGTGTCAGTGAGGCAAACTTTGGTAGCAATTGTTGTCTGACAAAATTATACCAGAAGCTTCAGAGAGACTGATAAAAGCCACTGTTAAATAACCTGCCATGAGGGAAATGTTTTGAACAGCCCACTGTACCTGGCAGCAGATCTCTCTCATGAGTATCACAACCTGACAGACACAGAAAGAACATCCTGGCTTATTCGAAGGAGAACTTCCTAAACTCCATCACAGCAGAGCTGCAGTGACAATCAGAAATGCAGCTGGCCTTTACCTTCTTCCTCAGGGTGACCTTGCCTCATGAGTGAGGAATGGCTGTCGCAGAGATAGAATCTGTATGATTTGTAGGACACCGGCAGGATTGCAGCTACCAGAGCCCTCTGGGTGGATGATGTTTCCGTGCTGCCCTCACCTGGCTGGCCCTGACTCAGAGCTGCAGCCAGAGCGAGGCCAAGATTTGGGGTGGCTGCAGAGGGGCTGTCCCTCTTGTGCAAAGGATCCCAGGGTCTGTGAGTGGGGGACAGTCAGATGCAAGCACAATTGCTGGCTCTGGAAGCTCAGCAGATTCGTGATGTACTAGAAAAAAAACAAAAACCACCAACTTTGCCTTTTGTCTGGTGATACTGGACAGTTTCACGTTCAAAATCAGTATGTGCTACTCAAACTTCAGTTCCCAGGTCAGTTTCAAAATTCTTTTGGAATCCTATGAACTAAATGCATTGGATATTTCATGTTCAGTTGCCTACAGATCAGTTGTATGTAAATAATTTTTTTTGCCAGCCCCCATTTTATTTGAAAACTTATTTCTCATTTGAAATATATGCATCTTTGTTGCAGGCATTGTCGTTCCCTCCTACGGTATCTTACATAATATCCTTGGCACTCTAATTAAAGAAAGGAAAATCTATCATACAGGAGAAGGATATTTCATTGTCACTCCCAACACATACTTTAACACAAATGACGCCACAGAAGACAACAGAATGGTCCCGCTGGAGGGCAGTTGTTGCTGTTCATCTCCTTCCATCACTTACCTGGTAAACATTGAGTGCTGTGCAGGCCTAGTGAAAGAAAACACACCAAGGGTATCCCATTACAGACCCTGCCGTTGTTTCCCTGACCAGCATATGCTCTGTGATCAAAGCCATGGGCGGCTAATGGACCATGAACCTAATGGAAGAGGTAAGGAAGGCTGCAGTGAATTGAAGCCTTCAATTCGAACTCAAGGGATCTCCACATCTGCCGAAAACCATTCCTGGGACACCACCAAATCCCTGACATCTGCAAAAGGGAAACTGAAAAGTAAAAGGTTTGGCCTTGGCCTTTTCTGGAGAAGTGCTTCTAAAAAAGAAAAACCTAAGAAGGAGTACTCCACTTTTTCAGCCCAGTTTCCTCCTAAGGAGTGGCCTGTCAGGGATGAAGATGACTTAGATAATATTCCACGTGATGTTGAACATGAAATCATCAAGCGTATTAACCCAACTCTTACAGTTGATAATTTGATTAAACACACGCTATTAATGCAAAAGTTTGAAGAGCAAAAGAAATATATCAGTAAGGGCACCTCGGCTGAAGTGTCAACAGTCAGGCAAAACCATCTTTCAAAGGACTGTGTTCAAAAGACACAAAGTAAAACAGCAAAACACTCCAGGAAAACCAAATCAAACAAAGAGAAGCAGATCAGCAGAAGTAACAGGAAATCTCACGTACATGAACTAATATCCCAAAACGCAAAACTGGAAGAGAATCCTTCACTACCTACCAGAAACCAACAGCCATCTGATGTAGCAGCGGGATCCCATGTCATATATAAAAAACAAATTAAGAACCCTTTTCAGGGTCTGTCATGGAGACGCAACTTTTATGTGAAAGGGTACAAAGGTACTATCAACAGTCAGCTGAAGTCCAGGACTCAAAAACAAGAAAGGGCTTTACAAAGGCCACAGTCCTTGGACTCATCAAAAACCTGTGAACATGGAACTGAACAGCTGGCTGCTGAAACGCAGGCTGGCAAAGCTAAGCAAAACAAACTCCTCCATGCTAATAGGTCTTCTCTCCAACTAAAGAAAGGTAGTTTAAGTGAAAACTTTAGTTATCCACATGGCAGTACGTTGCAAATAGATAATAAATACAAATACTTTCTGGAGAGTAGTATTTCTGAAGAAAACATCTACAGAAGACCAATCAAAAAAAATCCTGGGGATATTCAAAAATCCCCTCTCTCCCACACTGGAGAGAATGGTGTGTGCAAAGAAGATGCAAAATTTTCATTACATATGAAAGATGAGTATCACAGGTGTAAAGCTGACACTGTATGTGAGTTATTAGATCAAACAGCAAATGAATTTCAAAATGTCCATCTTTCAAATTATACAGCCAACGTTAATCTAGTAACAAAAATTGGTGTGAAATACAGACCAAAGACTGATAAAAAGAGTGAAGTTATATTTAAATATGACTGTGCCAGCCATCCTGGATCAATGAAGCTGGAAAGTGAAGGATTTACTGAGAACTGCCATCTTCTGTACCAAAAAACCCATGATGGTGACACCTGTAGCTCACTACATCTTGATGACAGTTTTGAAGATAGTGAACCACCTCACCTGCATCCTGGCCATGCTTTTTCAGAGACAAGAGACCAGAGTAAAGCTGTGCAGGAGCTGGAGAAGCCTATGCCCCTAAAAAACTGTAAGGTTAATACTTATTCTTCCCCATACAACACAACTCTAAATAAACCTGACTCTTCAGAGTGTGGATATAAGGAAAGTGCTAGTTTTGCAGAATCAACAGATGGCTCAAAAGAGCATCAAAAAACAGATTTCACAGAAGCAAGATGTTTGTGCAGTCAGGTTATTCTGATAGGTTGTAGAAAGGAAGAAGAAACTGGCCTTACTGAATGTGTGAAGGCTTCAGCTGTAGCAGGTTTCTGCCACGCTAATGAGGCTGACTCAGATGCTGACACTTTGCAGAACTTCACCTGTGAGACGGGTGAAATACTGGGATGCTGTGCTTCAGGCTCACAGAACAAATCAAAGAGAAACCCTCTGGGTAAAAAAGATCTGGTTTTTAACAACACATGTACTGTAGTATTGGAAGGGACAGAAAACCGCAGCATTACAGGAGACAGTGGAATCGACTCCCCAAGGTAAGAAACACTTGTAACTATGTTAGATGTTTTATCTTCAAATTAACAATCAGGTTTAGGCAGAAATGTTGCTGTAAATTATAAGCCCCACTCCTCAACAACAAAATTCTTATTATCTTTAAAAACTTCAGTGTTATGTCCCAGAAATACTCAAACAGTATACTTCTAGCATGTCTTTTTACATGAACATTCCCTCTAAATCAGCTATACAGATGCCACTGTTTACATTTTGCATTTGTTTTCATGAGGCAAGAAAATAGTATGAGCTCTGCCTTGCAGACAGAGATGGCCAACTGCAGAAATGTTAAGAAATATGGTGTTTGATAAACTCAGTGTTATACATGGTGATTGATAAACTCCTGTTAGCAGGCAGGTTCAGCTTGTGTTGATCTTGCTATATGACATTAAGGAGATTGTTATAGTTTCTCGACTTGTAGATGAAGAATAAACAGAGCTTTATAGAGGTGTTAAATCAAAACTTGAAGTAGAAAATACCATCTGACTTGCTTACAATAGACAGGAGAATTGCTTGTGCTAGAAGGTTCTCCTTACTTTCATAGGGTAGATTTTGCGTGTAACAGTACTTGAAAATTCCCTTAATGGAAAACAAATTGGTATGAAAAAATTTTTTACACAGTTGCATGTGGAGAAGACCTACAAAACTGTTAACTAAATTGGCAAGAACATAAGTTCAAGTGTTGTTAGAGGAAAATCATAACCATTTTTTTATAGCATCATGTATTCTTAAAATCTTAAACGACTGATATTTAACTATAATTAAACCACTTGAGTTCTCATTAGATAAGTACTGTCACCTTGAGAAGCCAGTATCTGAAGGAACAAATCACACACTGCAGTTTTTAAGGAAATTCTGAGGATTTCCTTTTTTTTTCCCCCTGTAAGCCGCTTTTGGCTGTGCATTCTTACAAGCACATTTCTAGTGTGTTACTTGGACATGAACACTTGAAATCTGTGGACGCTATTTAGCAAAATCTATTTCAAAGGGTCATTTTGATTGTATTCATGCCATCTGTGTGTACCAGAAAGTAAGCCAAATAAGTTTATTTTTAGAATATGAAGTCTGATGTCTAATAATTCCGTTATTTTAGGTGGACTGAAAAGAAGATGAAGCTTCCTGCCAAATTCTGAAAGCACAAATACTAATGCAAAGAGGAAGACAAAGTGGAATGACAATTACAACAAAATTCCTTGCTTCAGCTAACTCTGGTCATGAATATGATTGTTTTTTTTTAAATGAGCTTTGTAAACTTCCCTTTGTAACAACATAACCATACTGTAAATGCGATCAGTCACATCTGTAAGGCTGTCTCCAAATCAAAGCTGTTAGATAAAACTTTTGACCATAGCATTTGGAGAGCTGATGGGTATTTCTGTTGCTCTCATCTTTAATTAGTTTTTGCATTCCTGTGATAATAAAAATGGATATACTTTGTTCAGATCACACCGTTAACCTGGAAAGGGTGTATGTTGCTCTAACAGGAACTATATCAGTTGGACGGGACTGTTTTACACTACAATTCTTGAAAGTGTTTTATACCTCCGTGCTCCATCTCTTCTGTCAGAAAACAGCAAATGAACTGGATTGGCACGCACCTTATTACTAGAGAAACTCCTTGAATCCTGAGGTTTTCCTCACTGCGTCCTGAAGAAATCTCAGATGCCCTCCTGAATCTACTTGGTGTGTTTAGATAGATACAGCAAAGAGGATTTAGTCTTTACAAATGAGAATGTGCTGGTGTGAGAGACAACAGGTAAGGTCAGTGGCGTTGCTCTGAGAGGAACCTTGCTGCAGGCCGGCGCGCTCCCACTCTGCTCCTGACCTCCCCTTTCCTTCTCTTAAGGAAACGACATCCTGTCAGCCATTAGGATTGCTTATAGCTTTTACTTTATAAGACTAATTTTGACTTCTTAATCCTGATTTCTTCCTGTAGCTAAAAGCAGACTGTGTGTGTTTCATGATGCCAATCACCACTCAAGGCATGTGGTCCTTCTAAACCATATAGAGGCACTTGGTTATACTGGTACTGGCTACATTGGGCTCTTTTGCTATTGAACACTTCTCTCCAGTAGTTATGGAGACAGAAGGTTAAAGTTGTATTTATCAGTTTTTAAAGCTAATGGAGATTTCTTTCAGGGAGGATGTCTGTGGCTGTGAAGAAGTGGTAGAAACTGCGTTAGAGCCCTGAGGCGCCTTCTTCCCCTCAGCCCTTCGGCCGGTTTCAGTCACGCCGGTACCGGCGTTTTCCCCTCAGGCTTCTCCAGAAGCCATCTCCTCTCAGCGCCTCACACTCCTTCCTCCTGCCAGCAGCCTTTCCGCCTCCTTAAACACCCCTCCCGGGGCTCACACACGCAATGCACCGCGGCACAGCGTAAACCGGAGTGAAAATGGCGCCGACGGCCCCAAGCCCTCAGCCCCGCCCGCTGCCCGCGCCCATCATGGCGGACTCTTGAGGGAAGCGGCGCGGGGTTTGCTGGGCCTTGTAGTCCGGCCGGGATCCCCCGGGGCACCCTGGGCTTTGTAGTCCGGGGGCGGCGTCATGCTATTGGCTGCCGGGCGGCCCCGCCCGCGTTGCCGGGCAGTGGGCGGTCTTCTGTTTCTGTCACACGGCAGCGGCGGCAGCAGCGTGGCGACCGGGCCGGCGAGCGGAGATGCCCGAAGCCACTCGGTGTAGCAGCAGCAGCGGGGCCGAGTCGGATCCCGAGTGCCCTATGGAGACCGAGTCAGCTCTGGAGAGCAGCCGGCGGCGGCGCAAGGTACTGAAGGGGGCGAGGGAGGTGTTCCGCGGGCCTTCCGCGGCCCGGTACGGCCTTCCCGCCACCGCGCCGCCTCGCCTGCACGCCGGGGCTCGTGTCGGGCGGGTCGCCACCCCTACCCCCTCACTAATGGCGGGGGCCGGGGTGGATTTGCTCGGCGTGGCCGTGGGGAGCACTGGGCCGGCCGACCACGTGCGCGGCGGCGGGGCCTCCCGGGAGGCCGGCGGGCGGCAGGGCCTGTGGCGCCGGGGGGAGGCGGGCCCTCCGGGGAGGGTGGGCCCACCGGAGCAGGCGTGTGGTCATCCCTGTCAGGGGAGCGCTCCGGTGAGGGGGAGGGAGTCCCCAGAACGACGGGCCGGGTGTCTGTCGTGGTGGGGAAAACGCCACCGGGCGCGGCGGGGAGGGATCGGTTCCTTCGCACCACCCCCCCTACTCCGTAACTACAAAATAAACTTAATTTTAACTGTCCTGCGGGCTCTTATCTCTTTCTCCTCGGTTATATCGTATCTATGCGCCTGTTTTTATTTCTCGCCGTGTTGCTCTGTGCCTTCCCAGAAGGAGAAAAAAGAGAAGAAGTCTAAACGCCATGAGAAGTCTCGGCGGAGGAAGGCTCCGGCCGAGGAGAGCGACCAGTCGGAGGAGGAGGAGGAGGAGGCCGAGCCCCCCAAACTCAAGAAAGCGAGGAGCGGGGGGGCAAAGCAGAACGGTCACAGCAGAGAGGAGAGCCCAGAGAACGCGAGGCTGTCTTCCCTCAACGCTAAATCCGCCCACAAGAAAGGGCACAGTAATTCCAGTGACACGTCAAGCGGTGACGGTGACAGCGACCAAGAGCAGGTAAAACTAATGGTTGGTTTAGCTTTCAACTCCTCTGTGGCAACAAAGTGCCATTTAGAACCGGTTATCTTTCCTTATTCTTTTTTTTTTTTTTTTCCTAATCAGGATTTACAGCTACTTGAGCTGTCCCTTCTGTCCATTATTTACAAAAAAAAAAAAAAAAAAATTATGAAAACCCTGAAGTTGTAGATGCTCAGGGCATCGTGGTTTCCTCACTCCAACAGCCTGGTGCTGTGGTAGCTGTTGGCAGGTGGACAAGCTGCAGTGGGATGGTGCTTTAATATGATTCAGCATCATTAGATATGATTGCAATTGCCACAAATATAGTTTAATTGACTTTTTTTTTTTGTTGTTCTTATGCGTACTTCTGTCATGAAATAAGAATTATTTGGTTTTAGGTAGTGTTACAAGTTATGTATTAGTATATTTTTACATATCATCTGATTAAGTGGTAGTTGTTAATGTGAGAAGATGATCCTTAATATAATAAAATATCACATTGTAACGGTTTTGTAATGTTTCTTAAGCATTTCTGTAAGAATATATTTATTTTTTCTGACTATTTCTACTTGATTTGGTTTCCTTTAAGCTACTTTAATATGAACTGCATTTTTTTTATGTTGAAGGGAAACCTATCTTGTTGTACCTAGGAATTTGTTTTGCAGTGTCTTTAAACCTGCTTTTGCTTGGCTTTGTCTCTTGTTCCAGTTGATGCTTCACAAAGCATCCAGGGTTTCCAGGGTTAACATTCTTTCCTCACACTTAGCATTTTAATCACTGTGCTGTTAAAACATATATGGAAGTGATCTGTTACTAAGTAGGTGTTTTGATGCGCTGCCTCCTAATGTTATTTTTTGGGGGATGGATTTCTGTATCTGTAAATCACTGTGCTGTATTAATTGCAAAGTAGGATGTAGGGTAGACATTAAGCCTGATTCTTGCATATCAAAACATAATCTCCTAGGCCATTGGTAAATATTTAAAATAGAATGTTTAAATTAATTTAAGTTTTCAGAGTTTTAATTTGGGTGTTTTGCACTTACAGGGTTATGCCATTAGATATGAAATGAAACAGTTAATTTAAATTACAGATCAATTTTGTCTAATTTTGAAATATGATAGTGAGTAAAACAAATAAGACTCTGTAGCTGCAGCTGAGATACTGACACTAAAAATTTGTCCCTTGGGTATGACACCAGTGCCTATGCCATTATCTTGAATTTTCTGATGGTGGTATGATGTCCACATGGAATGTTATCTAATTTATTGTTTGCCTAACAGGAGATGACTGAAGAACAGAAGGAGGGTGCTTTCTCCAATTTTCCTATTTCCAAAGGGACTGTTCAGCTACTTCAAGGTAAATTTCTTGGCACGATGTGAGCACAGGAAGTAAATGAGCTCTGTCATGTGTTTTTATGCTCAACGTATGCAATCAATGAGCTTTAGGATGTGCTCTGCTCATGTGTATGCAAGCACTGATGCTATACAGCAGGCATATTGATTGCCTACTCCTAATGCATCTTTGAATATAGACTTTTCTGGTTGCGTTATTGCCCAGTTCAGCCTTTACAGCAGAATTTCAAATTACATAAGCTCAGAAAAATAAATTAATTCTCTGCGAGAGCTTTTCAAGTCACAGTTATTTCAGTGTGAGTAAAGGAAAACCGGTTCTATTTAGTATCTTTGATATTAGTTTGTGCATGACTTAGTGTGAAACTAAGAGAGGAGTAAAAGTGCTTTTGACATAGGTTTGATTTGAAAGAAAGATTTTCATAGCTAGTTGGGGAGTATTACATAAATAAAGGCTTTCATTAACTTTGTCTGCCCCAGCTAGCACTGTGTCTGGTGGTATGAAGCAGAAGGATAAAATGGACAGTCCCAGGGCACTTTACAGGTGACCTCTGTGGTTAAATAAATCAGTGGAGGTGATGATATAGTCCTGGCTGACTTTAGACTTGATGGAAGTTCTGCTTGGGATAACTTCCTCTGAAGAGTATGCAAGAATACTTGTAAAATGATCGTATTAAGGAAATCTGTTGCAATTGTCACAGCTCGAGGAGTGACGTACCTGTTTCCCGTGCAAGTGAAGACTTTCGACCCAGTATTTTCTGGCAAAGATGTAATTGCTCAAGCACGAACTGGAACAGGGAAAACATTCTCTTTTGCTATTCCCTTAATTGAAAAGCTTCAGGGAGACTCACAAGAAAGAAGAAGAGGCCGTTCACCAAAGGTAACTGATTTTGCTTTGTGTTATGTCCGAGTGATTCAGAGTTTTAACTTGAGAAGTTCTTCAAGTTTGTGCAGGGATAAGCTAACCTGCCTTAACAATTCTTTGAAAGTTGTGTTTGTTGGGCTTTGCCTGCTTCCTGTGCTACCTCATACCCTCTGACTAAGGGCAAAAATAGCTCTACCCACTTGTTAATTCCTTTTTCTGCCTGTAGGGAGACCAAAACTACAGGTGTTCAACATGTTCCTATTTAATTTTTTTCAGTCACCTTACCTGTTGAGGTCCAGTGATTACTGGATACTTGTTTTTCTCCCAAATTAGCAAGAGATTTGTGACTTTTTCTCATTGATAAAAGCTATCTATTTAACTGTGTGTGTTTAAACATGTAAATAGTGTGAGGCTTTAAAAATAGGCTTAGTTTTCACTCAGCCTGCCACTAAACAGTGAAGCTTCTGCTCCAGAGAATGCAGATTCATTATGAGCTGTCTGTGTTCTGCTAGGGAATTCCAGGTATGTTTTTCACCAAAATTCTTCAAAACTAGATAAGCTAAATCTTACTGTATCCCTACTAATAATGGATTTTCTTTTTTTTGGTCAGTTTATTTCATCTTGTCACCCATCTCATAGATTACCTGAAACTCCTTCCAAAACTAGTGTTAGCTGTTTTATTTGCACGTGCCCATCACGTGGGCTGTCCGACAGAACGCTGGCTCTAGATTTGGCACAGTCTTGTGGAAAAGGGAAAGTTTTCTTTGAGGGAGCTACAAGTCTTTATGTGTTTCACCATTGAAAGAAGTAGCAAGGATTTTAAGTTTCCTTTGGCCAAGCCACTGATGCCAGGTTTGAAAGCATCACTGTAATCACGCGTTAAACTAAATTAGTTAAAACTCCTAGCTTGTAGCTTGTCTGTCGCCTGCGGTGAAGCCTGTATATTGGAAGAGAGGATGGTTCCTTTGTTGCTCTGTGAGGATGTCAGCACAGGCTGCAGAACCCTGCTGAACACCAGCTTTGCAGACTGAACATATGTTTCCCTGAGTCACGGGGAAGCTGAGGGACAGTTGATAGTTCTTTCTTACACCTCAGCATCCCTGAGCACATGTGAAAAACTTTCATTACCCAAATCCTTAGGATTTGTATTAATACAATGTATGTGCATGTGGAAGAAAACTTGAAGCTGATCTGTTCAAGAGCTAAAGTTACATAAGATTCAAATACCTCCTGTCCATCTCATTTAAAAAGAAGTTAGCCTGTCCTAAGAGAGTATATGCTGAAGATTAATGATGTTGCAAGAGACTTAAGCAGTGTGTTTCTCTAATCTTTGCTTAGATAACTATTTAAACGAGAAGTTTTTTTTTTTAAGTCATGTAAATGGTCAAACCTAAGCTAATGATTAGAAGTCTATTGGTTTCTTGGCAGAAGCTAGACTGAGAGAACATGTTTGTTTTACTTTTGTCTAGGTGCTAGTTCTTTGCCCAACGAGAGAGCTGGCAAACCAGGTTGCCAAAGATTTCAAGGACATCACAAGAAAGCTAACAGTAGCTTGTTTTTATGGAGGAACTCCGTATAATGGACAAAGTAAGTCACACTTATCACTAATAATTGAAATGTTGATTGACTGACATACTTGAGAAATCCTTCCAAACACTCACTTCTAACTCAAGAACTGGAGAGTATTCATGTAGCTCAGAATATATCATCTTATGGTGAGGGATAACTGTAGCTCTTGATTATGTTTTTGGTATTCCTTGTCTACTTGTGTACTTTAAATTAGAATGAGAGATAGGATACTGTCTGTATACAGAGCATTTGGGTTTAGGTTGTCGTAAACATTTATATTTTCTTTAAAAAATGTTTAGTCTTTGAGCTCTGAGTAGATGTGAGCTTTTTTGTGTAATAAGGGATATCTAGAGAATTTGTAAAGTGGAGAATTTCTCTATTGTTACAGCGTAATTTACCTTCATGAGGGTTGTAAGCAAGGCAAATGAGAGCAGGAATGAGAGTAAGCTCTTTTATTGTAATATAGCTACAGATAATAGGGATTCTTTTTTTTTTTCACTCAGAAGTTAGGAAGGAGATGATTTCAGTAATTTGGATAGTTAAATAAAGAAAAAAGTTATTTTAAGTTTCCAATTAAGGTAGACAATTTGAGAAGAACTATTGAGAATACTATTTCTAAAGTATGTTAAAAGAAGCTCTTTGTTTGCCACTTTATTTAAATCATGGGGAGAGAGAAGGGAGATAAGAAATCTTGTTTCCTTTAGGAAAAGCAGTAGAACTTTTTCTGCATTAACAATTTTGTTTTGTTTTGTTTTGTTTTCCCTCCAAGTTTCCTCCTCCTGTTCATCATTTGTTCTTGCTTACATTTGTAAGGAAAGTACTTCCTAATGGTTTAAGAAACTGTTTCATTATTGCTTAGCTACCATGTGTGTCTAGTGTAGAGAGTGCTCCCTATTTCACTGCTAACTCCTCTTCTGCTCTTTCCTGTTTATCAGTTGATCTCATGAGAAGTGGCATTGACATTTTGGTTGGGACACCTGGTCGAATCAAAGACCATCTTCAGAATGGCAAACTGGACCTCACCAAGGTGAAACATGTTGTACTTGATGAAGTTGATCAGATGCTGGACATGGGATTTGCTGAGCAAGTGGAAGACATTTTAAGAGTTGCATACAAAAAGGGTAATCTCAATTTTTAAACAAATAGTAGGAAATATTAGTAATCATTTAGTCTGCTAAAATTCAGGTATATTTTTCTGAAAGTTGCAAGGTGGCTTTGTTTAGAAATGACTGAACGTTGTAGGAAATGTACTGTGAATGCAGTACATGAGGAAGAGTCATGGAAGTAGGAATCATTCATAGAACCTTAGCAAAGCTTAAAATCCAGTACCTAGGGATCTGTAAATAACTTTCTTTGACACCTGTCTATAAGTTGTACATAGATTTCTTCCAATGAAAAGGAATTAAAAGCTTTTTGCTTTTCACCACTTAAGAATAGACTGGATTTTTGATCATAGTAACTTTTTTTACTAATCTTTAGATATAAATATTTAGACTTTCTGCAGTATTTTTTCCTCCAGATGTTGGTAATGCATAAATTTAAAAAGAGAATTGCCTTCTTTATATACTGATATTTGACCTCATATTTTTAATAACTTGTATAATCAGCCTGCTTATATCTGTAAGATGAAACATATGAAGTTTGTGAAACATTGTTCTGTGCTTTAAGATTCTGAAGATAATCCCCAGACACTACTGTTTTCTGCAACTTGCCCACATTGGGTGTATGATGTGGCTAAGAAATACATGAAGTCTAAATATGAACAGATTGACCTTATTGGGAAAAGAACTCAAAAGGCTGCTACAACAGTAGAAGTGAGTAATCTGTCTAATGTGGATCGTTTTCAGGCCTCTTCCATTTTCCTTTATGATACAAACGGTCATCCCATCCTAAGGTACATTATCGGGGTCATATTGAAAGTTGTTTTGAGAATTATTTTTTAAGCATAAGGAACATTACAGCTACTCAGACTGTTTCTAGGTTTAGGATCTGTCTCCTTATAGCCATCTCAGGTAGAGTGAGGATGCAGTTATCTGTTAATTTTATTGGTTTTCAGAGACAGCTCTATCTGAATTTATCCAAGTTGGAAGCTAAAAGGCACACATTCTGCTAGGGAATTCCATGTATGTTTTTCACCAAATCCTTATGCTGCCCTCCAAAACTAGATAAGCCAAATCTTATCGTATCCCTATTAATAGTGGATTTTCTTTTTTTTAGTCAGTTTATTTCATCTTGTCACCCATCTCAGTCATATTGAAAGTTGTTTTGAGAATTATTTTTTAAGCATAAGGAACATTACAGCTACTCAGACTGTTTCTAGGTTTAGGATCTGTCTCCTTATAGCCATCTCAGGTAGAGTGAGGATGCAGTTATCTGTTAATTTTATTGGTTTTCAGAGACAGCTCTATCTGAATTTATCCAAGTTAGAAAAGGGAAAGTTTTCTTTGAGGGAGCCACAAGTCTTAAAACAATGTGTTTCACCACTGAAAGAAGTAGCAAGGGTTTTAAGGTTCCTTTGGCCAAGCCACTGGTGCCAGATTTGAAAGCATCACTGTAATCACACATTAAACTAAATTAGTTAAAACTCCTAGCTCGCTTCCAGTGGCATCTCACCTCACTAAGCCTTTACTTGCTATGCAGTAAATACCATAGCGAGGAATACAATACATACATGCTAGAAGCCTGAATTAATTATCGGTACTTGATAAAATAGTGTTTCTGCTTAAGTACTGCTTAGCGGTTACTTTGGCGGATCAGTTGGATGCATGATAATTGTATCAGTGGCATTGAAAGAATGTTAATTTTCCGCTTGAAAGAAAGCATTTAACACATTGTATCTACCCTGCTGAACACCAGCTTTGCAGACTGAACATATGTTTCCCTGAGTCACGGGGAAGCTGAGGGACAGTTGATAGCTCTTTCTTACACCTCAGCATCACCGAGCACAAGTGAAAAACTTTCATTATCCAAATCTTTCAGTCTTGTACTAAAATAGCATATGTGCATGTAGAAGAAAACTTGAAGCTGATCTGTTCAAGAGCTAAAGTTAAATAAGGTTCAGATACCTCCTGTCCATCTCGTACTGCTTAGCGGTTACTTTGGCGGATCAGTTGGATGCATGATAATTGTATCAGTGGCATTGAAAGAATGTTAATTTTCCGCTTGAAAGAAAGCATTTAACACATTGTATCTGTTTGTTTCACTTTACCTGACATAAAGCTTTAGTTGAAAGAAAGATAATAAAACATCCCACCCCTGACTGTCCTCTAGAGAGTGGTGTAACATCTCTGTTATTTTTTCCCTTGCTTTAAGAAAGTGATTTGTTAAACCATCATTTTTCTGTTTTCCCCCTGTCTTAAAGGATTATATGCTGAAGGATGATGTTGCAAGAGATTTAAGCAGTGTGTTTCTCTAATCTTTGCTTAGGTAACTATTTAAATGAGAAGTTTTTTTTTTTATATAACTCTTTAGCATTTCTGGATTTTACAGTTTCAAATGTATTTAAAAAAAAAAAAGAATCTTGTGTTTTTATGTAAGCTAAACTCTGGAATTCTTTTCCATAGCATTTGGCAATAGAGTGCCACTGGTCTCAGAGAGCTGCGGTTATTGGAGATGTCATTCAGGTCTACAGTGGCAGCCACGGGAGGACAATCGTCTTTTGTGAGACCAAAAAGGAGGCAAATGAACTGGCTCCGATTGACTGACATACTTGAGAAATGCAGTTGGATCCTTCCAAACACTCACTTCTAACTCAAGAACTGGAGAGTATTCATGGGGAATTCAGTAGCTCAGAATATATCTTCTTATGGTGAGGGATACAGATAGTTTCAAAACTGCCCAAAAGTACCTTTTTAAAAAACTGCAAACTGGTTGAAAGTTTACAGCATTATGGTCTTCAGGACTAGTCTGCACTAACAGATACTGGGCTATAAAGGATTTTTTTCTTAAGAGTTCTTATTGACATTAAATGAAGCAGTTGTGAATTATTTTTTTCTGTAGAGAGGACTGTCTTGGATTAGAAAATGGTGGTAGACTTAAGACAACTGCTAGGGTAACAGGTCATGGTACTGGAACAGCAGTTACTGAGCTGTGATGCTGACATTAATTGTTGTTATTGGGGAGGGCGATTAGGGTTTAGAACAGCAATATGTTTGTATTTTCATTAGGATGTTTCTTAGCTGTTAGGAAGAGTTTAAAGATGGGTACACAGAATCAATCTACCATCTCTTGTCAATGAACTTCGTTGTGTTCCTGAGATTTGTGGTACGGCACACGCTAGCACTGGTGGGAAATAACTAATTGATGTAGTGGTGCAATGTTTAGGCTGTGTAGGGACACTGGCACTGCATGCTCTTTTGGTGGTGGTATCACAGCAACTGCTTTTTTTTGAATGTATTTTCATTGAGGAGATGGGTTATTTCTAGAAAGCAGTATAGCATTATGTTCCTAGGGAAAGGAGAAGCTTTTTCATCTGCCACAACTGTGTTCAGGAGTGTTTCTCCCACACTCCTAGATGACCTCACTAACAGCTAAACCTGAGCGTGGAGCCTTATCCTGCGTTACTGGTGGTGTTAGTGATATCAAATCTTGCATAGACAATGCAGAACACTGATCTTGGCAGGTAAGATAAGGAAATTACTGAGATGTTTCTGTTTTAGCATATTAATACTCGCTAACAGGATGTATGCCTATTCCATTTACCAGCTGACATTAATCCAAAACTGTCTGAAAAAAGATTTTTGAATTCTTTGCTGACCCTGGCATTGTGTTAGTATTTTTTTCAAATCATTCTCTGTTTATACATGGAAAATGTGGTAGCCATCTGCAGGCAAGCTGTGAAATGTGGAGGAAAAAACAATTTTTGTATGTTTAGTCTTCATATTTGTTATTGTTGTGGTACAGAAGGACTTTCAGAATGTTTGGTTTAAAATTATCTCTGAAGCTGTAGTTATATTTTTTTTCTTAGGACTACTTTCAATTTAATTCTTTAATTTATATTGGAGGAAATTAATATATTAAGGGGGATTAAGAAGCAATACCATTTTGGAAAAGATGTCTAAATGAATACTAAGAAGGCCTGTGAAAGTTGTCAATGGCTATTTTGGAACAGTTAAGCCTTGCATAGGCGGTGTGGATGGCAAGTTAGGGCATAATTCTCACAGGTCTCAGTAATTAGAGGTGGAGATAAGACACCTACCTTTGTTAAAGGTCTTTGAGGTATATGAATGAGAAGAACCAAGTAAGTATTGTAAAACACCTATAATATAAACTTTGGTAGTTCAGTTCCTCTGTATCTTGACATATGGTATCTATCAAACACCAAGATATTGTAGCCAAACCTGACCATAAAATGGAACACTGTCTCGAATTTTGGTATGGTTCTATAATAATACTTAATTTTTCAGGATTGCCAGTCATTGCATGGTGACATTCCTCAGAAGCAAAGGGAGATCACACTGAAAGGTTTTAGAAATGGTACATTTAAAGTTCTGGTTGCAACCAACGTAGCTGCCCGAGGTTTAGATATCCCTGAAGTTGACCTGGTTGTACAAAGTTCACCACCAAAGGTAGGAGATGGTTATGTTTGGTTTCTTGTAATAATTTATAGGTTTGTTTTCGAACAGTAAATGCTGTCAGGTGATTGTGTTCAGCCTGTATAAAGCCTCTCCCTTCAAGGCCACGCATGGTGATTGCAAGTCTGGAAGCAGTGGGAAGAGAAGAAAGGCTGTTTGTCTTGCAAGAATGATTCGCTATGTAGGGGCATATATGAAGAGGGCACCCCAACAGTGAGAACATTGGCTGAAATTAAGAGGGTTTAAAAGAATCTAGCTATTTTTTCAGTGAATTCACTATTAATATCGCAGTAATCATGCTTGAGTTGATATGCAGGAGGGTGAGTGGGATTGTTACAGAGCTATACATGCTAAAAATGTTTCCTCACATTCGCTGTGGTGATGCCAAAAGAAGACTTAGTTGACCAATGGTCATGATTTTGGCTTTCAAACCATGATTTTTAGAGGGCTGTAGGAGAGCTTATTTGTTCGACTCTAGCAAAACAATGCTTTTTAATGTACTTCTCTTGTGCAGTTATTGTATATTCGGGTTTAACTTAGCTTCTACTAAATTGTGTGAATGTAATGAATTGATTAAATTATAATAAATTAGATAAGTCCATAAGGCTGTTTATTTTGAAGGATGTGGAGTCCTATATCCATCGTTCTGGACGCACAGGTCGAGCTGGACGGACTGGGATCTGTATCTGTTTTTATCAGCGAAAGGAAGAACATCAGTTAAGATATGTGGAACAAAAAGCGGTAAAGTATATTTTTCTTCTAATCATGAGTACTCATATGTAATGTGCTAGGGGTAGCATGTAAAATCTTCATGTTTTATGAAATAGTTCAGTTACAGAATACAGCTTATAAAGCATCCAGGTGAGGTTCAGTTACCTTGCAGATTTTGGGTACGCCATCAGTTACTCAGGAGCAGACTGCAGATTGTCGTGCCCATACTTTTTCAGCAGTAAATGCCAGAAAAATTGCACCTGTGGGAATGAGAGTAAGCTAATAGGATTTCAGTTTAGTGTTTGCCCTGGCTTATTATCTGATTAGTGATTTGCATATGTGTAGCTTTACTGAGAACTGTTACCTCTGGTTTTGAGCTTTGTGCGCTGTTCCATATGATAGTTTTCTTCCCAATTAAGTATTCAGTTGGGATGAGATGGTTTAGTCTTTGCTCATAAAACTCACATGTAGAAAGGCTGTGCAACTGGTACTTAAATCCAAGTAAATCAGACTACAATTAATAACTTGGAATTTGTAAGAGTTTTCTTTTCTCCTGGAATCTGCCAAAATCATCTTTCTTTATTTTGGTTTAAGGTCAGTGGATCTTGTAAACTGACCTGGTACGTAAAAGGCTTTTAAGTGTACCCATTTCCCTGTAAGCTTAATCTTGTAATTTTCAATAGCAAAAGATGGGAGTCAAAAGGAAGCAAAATGATAGATTTAACTGCTTGTTTCATTGGAACCCAATACTGTTTCTTTAGAACTGAAATAATTCTGGTCTGCAAGTTTCACCTGCATTTTGCTTTTTAAATTTCAGGGCATTACATTCAAGCGTGTTGGTGTTCCTACTGCAACAGATATAATAAAGGCTTCCAGCAAAGATGCCATCAGGTGGGTTTGGTGACTCGAGCCCTGTTGTATTTTCCTTGCCTCCTATTTCAGAAGGGCTGCTCCTTACTGTCTCTGAACTGATCACTATTAAAGTCTTGAACTGCTGTTTTTCTTCTATTCCGGAGCCTAGTAAATACTAGTGTATAATTTTTTATTTTATTTTTTTTTTGCTTTAATTACTTAGGTGCCTGGATTCTGTTCCTCATACTGCTATTGAGTATTTCAAAGAGTCTGCTCGGTGGCTAATACAAGAAAAGGGACCAGTGAACGCTCTGGCTGCAGCTCTAGCCCATATTTTTTTTACTTTAATTACTTAGGTGCCTGGATTCTGTTCCTCATACTGCTATTGAGTATTTCAAAGAGTCTGCTCGGTGGCTAATACAAGAAAAGGGACCAGTGAACGCTCTGGCTGCAGCTCTAGCCCATATTTCTGGTGCTACTTCCATTGAACAGCGCTCCCTGCTGAACTCGGATGCTGTAAGGGCTTAACATTTGTCTTGAATGTGAAAAAAAAAAAACAAACCCAACACACCTCTGTGTTGTTTAAATAGAGAATTATTTGTCTCCTTATGGCTTTGTTTATGGGAATTGTACTTAAGCCAATAGGAACTGCTAATTTGGTTAAAAGCAAGCATGTAGTGGCTATAAATATACTTGCTTTCCCATAACAGTATCCACTTGAAAACTATGTTTGTAAAGGGTGAATTAGCAGGTTTCTCATGTCCGATAGATGTGCTGAAGCTTATTCCTCTGTCTGAATGGGGTGCCCCCCGTTTCTCACTCTCTAGGGATTTGTGACAATGATACTTCGCTGCTCTGAAGAGATAAACAACATGAGCTATGCTTGGCGAAGACTGCGAGAACTGCTGGGCGATGATGTCGACAGGAAGGTGAACAGAATGTGTTTCCTCAAGGGAAAAATGGTAAGCTTTTTTTTTTTATATATATTTTCGCTGCTGAGCTCTTCTGGTTGTAGCCTTTTCTCAGCAATTGTCAGGGGAGGTATTTGGGTGTTTTTTTGCCCCCGTTCCAGGCTCTGTTAAGGACATGAAGGTTGGGCCTCAATCTGTTTTATTAAGGCTTAGGTATCTCAGGGGCTCAGGGCTCTGCTCCACTGAGGTGCTGAGGAGGGAGTAAAATGCAGTATATGGCACAGCTATAGGGATATAGCAGAACAGGGGAAAGGTACAAACTGTGATTACTGTGCCTTAATGACAGAGCATAGAACAGGATTTCTTAAGGCAGTCAGTTTTGATGATGTGTGTCCCTCCTTCTGGTACCTGAAAGGGAAAGATCCCAAAGTTACGTTTTGGGTTGCCTACTTGACAGTGTTGCAAGAGCTGTAGTGAAACTTGTTGAGAAACAGTTGTTTTAAACAAAAATGATTGCCCTGGCTACTCTTGTCTCAGACTTCAGATGGATTTTCACAAATAGGAAAACGTGATACATACAACAGAATGTTTGTGTCCTGCTTTTGTTAGGCATTATTGCTCATTTGCCCCATCTTGGTGTTTTTCTGGATGTATTCCTTGTTTCTCAACATACCCAGATCAATAAAACAGAACAGAGAGATGCTGTGATCTTAATTTGCATGCTGTCAACATATGCCAGTCTCTTATCCCTTCTTATGCAGTTATGTAGAGATTTGTAACAATTGCTTTTACTGGGTGCTGTGTGCATTCTCTTCTACATTCTGTCTTTGTGTAGAAGTTAACTTGCATGTCTTGTATGAATTTCACACGTCATCCACAAGGTTTCTTGGCCAGACGCTTCTGGTTTTAAATTTGACTTGAGGACACTATTTTTACTATTTCCATTTTGGAAATTTTTTCTTAATGTGTCCCTTCACGTGTGATATTTGATATTGCATTAATTGGTAAGATTTATTTTGTTGTCCTTGACTCTGTCTCTATTCCAGCATTGTTCTGGATTTGATGTGTAGAACGCTATCCATGGATGGTTTTCCCTACATTAGATTTTTAATCCTCAATATCCAGATTGCTCATTTGCACAAAGAATAGCATTTTAAAGTGTGAATTATGCATTGTACTTAATCTTTCAACTAGTTTAACTTCAGATAACTTAAATATTAGGTTTACTGGGCGTGTACGTTTCTTAGTATAGATTAAAACTTCCGATTTGAAAGAATTTACAAAATGAGTAATGCAGAAGCCGGTAATCCACAGTTTAGGATGGAGAGAGTTATAAGCTTATTGTTAAAGAGCAGGAAAATGTGAATTGGAAGGACTGACTATGCAGAGGAAAGAAAAATGTGTGGGTATCTGAGGAATAAAAGGAAGTGTTTTGAGAAATACCGATGCAACTCTCTCAGTGTTCAAAGATTTCAAAGTACCTTATATATATATTAACAAACACTTAAATGTAAAGCACCTTGTTCTAGTACATAGATTTATAGGCTCTATATTTCTTTTTTACTTGCAGTCAATTAAAAGGCTAGACTTGTATCCATTAAAATTATTCTCTCCTTTCAGGGTGTGTGCTTTGATATTCCTGCAGCAGACCAAAAGGAAATAGAGGTATGTTCATTGAAATTTCTGGTTACAGCAGACTGTAGAAGAATCTGGCTGGACTGGGTTAGGCAGAAAATGTTATGTAGCCTGTATCCCGCCTTTCCTAGTGAGAAAAGGGATGGGTTTGAAGGAATTGAAGAAGAGAACAAGCCTACAGTGTGCCTCTCCTAAAGTATTCCCCTGTCTCTAAAAATCTGTAGCTTGAAATATTTACACTAAGAAGAGTAGTGGTGTGAGCAATCCACCCCTTGGTACTGCTGCTGGGTTAATCTTTGTAGGTGATGAGTTCCATTACACTATAAAATCCCTTTTTCTGTTCCCTGCCCCCCCTTTCTTTTCACCCAGAATTCTCTTCTCAGAAAAGTGAAGAATTAATATTCCCCTGCCAAAATTCCCTAGGCTTCCAGTCCTTCCTTCAGGTTTTTCTCCCTTAGCGCATCTCTATACCCTCATGCCCTGGTGTTCATTCACCCCTAAACCAACATTTGGTTCTGGATTAGTGGGAAACTGAGGGGAAGGTGTGGATTTGTGATCAGAAATAATTATAGTGGTGGTATTAATAAAGAGTTTACTGACCAGGCTGCTCTGTAAAGCTCTGAGGTGGGTTTCAGTTCTGTCCAATGGCATCTGAGGTGTTCTCAGTCAGTTGTACCTCTTGAGCTTAAAATTCTGAAACCACTATTGACCGCTTTTGTGTCATTAGCTCCTAGTTTTTCCTTGTCAATTGAGCAAATTTAGTAATTACAAAATACTATGTATGCGCATTGCTAGAATTTAACTTAATGTGTCTGACTTTATTTCCATAGGCAAGATGGGAAGACTCGAAACAATGGCGTTTGTGCGTGGCCACTGAATTACCTGAGTTAGTAGAGTCACAGCGAGGAGGAGGAGGAGGTGGTGGAGGAAATGGCCGAAGCTTCTCCAGCTCCAGGAATGGGCGGCGGGGTAGCTCTGGTAGAAACAGATTCAGAGGCAGAGGCCAGAAACGAAGTTTTGACAGAGCATTTGATCGTTAACTTCAACAATCCAGAAGTGGAAAAAAAACCCGGGACTGCAGTATTTTATATTACATTAAAATAGGCTGTTCCTATGTGTTTGTACTTCTCGGAAAAAGTCTGTCCTTCAGATTTTTTTTTCCCTCAGTACTACTTTGGTCATAAACAAGATCCTGTTCACTTTAAAAAAAAAAACAACAACAAACAAAAACCTACAAGAAAAATAAAACTTGTCATTTCCTTTCTTTCTCGCGTCACCATTTTGACTGTAAGATCTTTATCCCAGAATATAGCTGCCCCATTCTGGCCTGTAGCCTGCCTCACTGTGCAATATATAGATCTCAACTGTACATTTTCCAAAGGAAAAAAAAAAATAATAAAAAATTATTATTTTACAAGTTGAGAGCCCATGTTGGAAGGTTTTAAAAGTCGGAGCGTGATTGTTATGATGCAGGAGGAATGGCTATGGATGGCAAGTATCGTTTTTGCGGGTGCAGCCATCCCGGTCTCCGGCTCCCGGTGCTCGGGGGGAACCCGGCGGAAGGGACCGGCGGGGCAGCGGCGGCGGAAGGGGCGGACCGGGCCGGAGCGGGCAGGCGGAGCGGCTGCATGGGCGGCGTGTGGTGCCGGCCGGCGCTCCTCGCCTTCCCCGCGGCCCGGGCGGCGGCGGCGGCCGCTCCTCTCAGCGC